AGGTTAAGGGTCCTGTGGCCGGTTAGTAGGGCAGGAAGTTCTAAGGTTAAGGGTCCTGTGGCCGGTTAGTAGGGCAGGAAGTTCTAAGGTTAAGGGTCCTGTGGCCGGTTAGTAGGGCAGGAAGTTCTAAGGTTAAGGGTCCTGTGGCCGGTTAGTAGGGCAGGAAGTTCTAAGGTTAAGGATCCTGTGGCCGGTTAGTAGGGCAGGAAGTTCTAAGGTTAAGGGTCCTGTGGCCGGTTAGTAGGGCAGGAAGTTCTAAGGTTAAGGGTCCTGTGGCCGGTTAGTAGGGCAGGAAGTTCTAAGGTTAAGGGTCCTGTGGCCGGTTAGTAGGGCAGGAAGTTCTAAGGTTAAGGGTCCTGTGGCCGGTTAGTAGGGCAGGAAGTTCTAAGGTTAAGGGTCCTGTGGCCGGTTAGTAGGGCAGGAAGTTCTAAGGTTAAGGGTCCTGTGGCCGGTTAGTAGGGCAGGAAGTTCTAAGGTTAAGGGTCCTGTGGCCGGTTAGTAGGGCAGGAAGTGGCCGGTTAGTAGGGCAGGAAGTTCTAAGGTTAAGGGTCCTGTGGCCGGTTAGTAGGGCAGGAAGTTCTAAGGTTAAGGGTCCTGTGGCCGGTTAGTAGGGCAGGAAGTTCTAAGGTTAAGGGTCCTGTGGCCGGTTAGTAGGGCAGGAAGTTCTAAGGTTAAGGGTCCTGTGGCCGGTTAGTAGGGCAGGAAGTTCTAAGGTTAAGGGTCCTGTGGCCGGTTAGTAGGGCAGGAAGTTCTAAGGTTAAGGGTCCTGTGGCCGGTTAGTAGGGCAGGAAGTTCTAAGGTTAAGGGTCCTGTGGCCGGTTAGTAGGGCAGGAAGTTCTAAGGTTAAGGGTCCTGTGGCCGGTTAGTAGGGCAGGAAGTGGCCGGTTAGTAGGGCAGGAAGTGGCCGCTAAGTAGGGCAGGAAGTGGACTGTTAGTAGGGCAGGAAGTTGCCGGTTAGTAGGGCAGGAAGTGGCCGGTTAGTAGGGCAGGAAGTGGCCGGTTAGTAGGGCAGGAAGTGGCCGGTTAGTAGGGCAGGAAGTGGCCGGTTAGTAGGGCAGGAAGTGGCCGGTTAGTAGGGCAGGAAGTGGCCGGTTAGTAGGGCAGGAAGTGGCCGGTTAGTAGGGCAGGAAGTGGCCGGTTAGTAGGGCAGGAAGTGGCCGGTTAGTAGGGCAGGAAGTGGCCGGTTAGTAGGGCAGGAAGTGGCCGGTTAGTAGGGCAGGAAGTGGCCGGTTAGTAGGGCAGGAAGTGGCCGGTTAGTAGGGCAGGAAGTGGCCGGTTAGTAGGGCAGGAAGTGGCCGGTTAGTAGGGCAGGAAGTGGCCGGTTAGTAGGGCAGGAAGTGGCCGGTTAGTAGGGCAGGAAGTGGCCGGTTAGTAGGGCAGGAAGTGGCCGGTTAGTAGGGCAGGAAGTGGCCGGTTAGTAGGGCAGGAAGTGGCCGGTTAGTAGGGCAGGAAGTGGCCGGTTAGTAGGGCAGGAAGTGGCCGGTTAGTAGGGCAGGAAGTGGCCGGTTAGTAGGGCAGGAAGTTCTAAAGTTCCAAAAGGTCATGAAAAGTTTTTTCTCTACGAACCTGACAGTCTAAGCCAGAGGACCTAAAACAGAAAACAGGACAGTATGACACTTTCGCGAGCCGCTTTCATTTTGTATTGGTGGGTGTACATGACCCCACCACAGGTGTTGGGGGGTGTACATGACCCCACCACAGGTGTTGGTGGGTGTACATGACCCCACCACAGGTGTTGGGGGGTGTACATGACCCCACCACAGGTGTTGGGGGGTGTACATGACCCCACCACAGGTGTTGGGGGGTGTACATGACCCCACCACAGGTGTTGGGGGGTGTACATGACCCCACCACAGGTGTTGGGGGGTGTACATGACCCCACCACAGGTGTTGGGGGGTGTACATGACCCCACCACAGGTGTTGGGGGGTGTACATGACCCCACCACAGGTGTTGGGGGGTGTACATGACCCCACCACAGGTGTTGGTGGGTGTACATGACCCCACCACAGGTGTTGGGGGGTGTACATGACCCCACCACAGGTGTTGGGGGGTGTACATGACCCCACCACAGGTGTTGGGGGGTGTACATGACCCCACCACAGGTGTTGGGGGGTGTACATGACCCCACCACAGGTGTTGGGGGGTGTACATGACCCCACCACAGGTGTTGGGGGGTGTACATGACCCCACCACAGGTGTTGGGGGGTGTACATGACCCCACCACAGGTGTTGGGGGGTGTACATGACCCCACCACAGGTGTTGGGGGGTGTACATGACCCCACCACAGGTGTTGGGGGGTGTACATGACCCCACCACAGGTGTTGGGGGGTGTACATGACCCCACCACAGGTGTTGGGGGGTGTACATGACCCCACCACAGGTGTTGGGGGGTGTACATGACCCCACCACAGGTGTTGGTGGGTGTACATGACCCCACCACAGGTGTTGGGGGGTGTACATGACCCCACCACAGGTGTTGGTGGGTGTACATGACCCCACCACAGGTGTTGGGGGGTGTACATGACCCCACCACAGGTGTTGGTGGGTGTACATGACCCCACCACAGGTGTTGGGGGGTGTACATGACCCCACCACAGGTGTTGGTGGGTGTACATGACCCCACCACAGGTGTTGGGGGGTGTACATGACCCCACCACAGGTGTTGGGGGGTGTACATGACCCCACCACAGGTCTTGGGGGGTGTACATGACCCCACCACAGGTGTTGGGGGGTGTACATGACCCCACCACAGGTGTTGGTGGGTGTACATGACCCCACCACAGGTGTTGGGGGGTGTACATGACCCCACCACAGGTGTTGGGGGGTGTACATGACCCCACCACAGGTGTTGGGGGGTGTACATGACCCCACCACAGGTGTTGGGGGGTGTACATGACCCCACCACAGGTGTTGGGGGTTATCATGACCCCACCACAGGTGTTGGGGGGTGTACATGACCCCACCACAGGTGTTGGGGGTGTACATGACCCCACCACAGGTGTTGGTGGGTGTACATGACCCCACCACAGGTGTTGGTGGGTGTACATGACCCCACCACAGGTGTTGGGGGGTGTACATGACCCCACCACAGGTGTTGGGGGGTGTACATGACCCCACCACAGGTGTTGGGGGGTGTACATGACCCCACCACAGGTGTTGGGGGGTGTACATGACCCCACCACAGGTGTTGGTGGGTGTACATGACCCCACCACAGGTGTTGGTGGGTGTACATGACCCCACCACAGGTGTTGGGGGGTGTACATGACCCCACCACAGGTGTTGGGGGGTGTACATGACCCCACCACAGGTGTTGGGGGGTGTACATGACCCCACCACAGGTGTTGGGGGGTGTACATGACCCCACCACAGGTGTTGGGGGGTGTATATGACCCCACCACAGGTGTTGGGGGGTGTACATGACCCCACCACAGGTGTTGGGGGGTGTACATGACCCCACCACAGGTGTTGGGGGGTGTACATGACCCCACCACAGGTGTTGGGGGTGTACATGACCCCACCACAGGTGTTGGGTGGTGTACATGACCCCACCACAGGTGTTGGTGGCGTACATGACCCCACCACAGGTGTTGGGGGTGTATATGACCCCACCACAGGTGTTGGGGGTCTCCATGACCCCACCACAGGTGTTGGGGGTCGTCATGACCCCACCACAGGTGTTGGGTGGTGTACATGACCCCACCACAGGTGTTGGGTGGTGTACATGACCCCACCACAGGTGTTGGTGTCTTCATGACC